CTTCTCCTCTGACAAAGAACCACAAGGAAATCGAGGGTGAGGAAGAAACATTCACTGTCTCGATGGTGAAATCATCTTCACAAGCGAATAAATACATCCACATTCACCTGTCATCCCCTTGAAATCTGCCCAGGTCCATGTATTATGTGTCAGTAACACATTGATAAATCTGATAAAAATAAGTGTTACTGATTATAGATCACATATAGTATATTAGCTATTCAATAAACAATAACTTTTTTAAACATCCTAAAAATAATACAACTCTAAAATAGGGATTACCTTAGGAGAAGTAAGGAGAGAAGAAACAGACAGAAATTTCCCTGAAGGTGTCAGTTTTATTTCTTTTTCAGACATAGAACTGAATTATGCTTGGAATATAATCTGCATAGTTGAGTTGTAGTTCAATAGTCAGCACTTGCCTAGCATGACTGAGGCCGTCGGGTTGACCTCCAGAAAGATGACGATGATGATGATAACGATGATGAAAATCTGAATCACCCTGCTGCTCACAGGCAGGTGCATTGGTCCACCTGGACTGGTCTGAGCTGTTCTCCACACATCAGTCGGTCAGACCACCTCCCTCTTCTCTTGACCCTCCAATGTCTCTACACACCCAGGGCAAAAGAATCCTTTCTGTTCTGTGGGTCTCCCAAGTAGATCAACATAGCTGTCTCCCACCTTCCAATGTGTGTTCTCATCACATCAAGTGCCTCTCACTCACAGGGGTCACCTCCTCCTTCTGAGAGGTCACCAGACATTCCCTTGCACCCTTTTAGAAATTGCAGATCCTGGGCCAGGGAGGTAGCTCAATGGCACAGTGCCTACCTCACAAGCACAAGGTCCGGAGTTCCATCCCCAGTATCACGAAAGAAAGAAAGAGAGAGAGAGAGAAGGGAGGGAGGGAGGGAGGAAAGGAAAGAAAGAAAGAAAGAAAGAAAGAAAGAAAGAAAGAAAGAAAGAAAGAAAGAAAGAAAGAAAGAAAGAAAGAGAAAATTGCAGATCCCTAAGTTTGTCCTAAACTGTGCCCTGCTTTATTTTTCTCTACAGTGCCTTTCACATTATTTCATCAAATGTCCTTATCTTCCTGCCAGAATGTAAGTGTCAGGAGGGCAGCGACAAGTATCTGAGTCACTGCCTCGCGTGCAGGAGTTATGAAGTACAACTGAGTATTTGTTTGAACTAGGTGAGAGATACCAGAGTTCCCATCACGCTTCTAATGTTTTTCCTCAGGAGAGTGTGAATTCATGTCTCCTAGTTGTGTGTCTATTCTGCTTCTGAGATGACTTTACTCTAAATACCATTTCCATGTGGACTCATACTTTTCCTGAGCAAAATTCAATGCACAACCCAAAAGCTACTCTCAATTACTTTGTGTGTTTGGTATATAATAGTGTTGAGAGTCTGCTTTCTTTCTGAAACTATTGATGAGCTATTAGACATCTTTGACAATGTACATACTAGTCTTTTCCATACATGGGTTGTATTTCTCTCTTTTATTTTTGTGCTTGTTTAATTTTTATGAGTATATGTTTGTGATACAGAGAAATTACATTAATTTCCATGATTGGTGCACATGCCCATCAAATCACATCAAAGCTTGGTCACTTTTACTTCCCCTCACCTCCTACAGATCCAGAAGGGTTACCATTTGAGATCTAATTTTCTTTTTTCTAGCTTTTTACCACCATATATATATATAAAATTTTCAAAACTTGAAAATGGAGCTTGGAAAGATTTTAGGCCCATTGTTTGGCATGTTTTAAGAAAAAACTGGTTGAGCTGTGGGTGATGGGATTGACTTCCTCTCCTGCCAGTAGATTTTGTCTCTTGCCATTAGACCAAAGGTGGCTGTATTTCTGTAATGAGTCTGGTGTGTGTACGCATGTGTGTATGTCTTACCAACAAGTTAATAGCTCCCCCTGGAACCCCATCCTCACAGTGGAACTAGCCACCTGACCTCCCTTCCCCTCTCTCCTAATAGGCCTGGGGCCAAGGGACTAGGACCTGAGGCAGGCAGGGCACACTGGAAAGAGCGAAGGTATAAGCCAGGCGTGTCTCCTCCACAGCCTCGGAAGACTTTGGACACCAACCCAAATGTGTCCTTAGGTGTGTGTGCACGCACGTACTTGGACATCTGGTGACCTTCTGACTAAACCTGCATCGCCAAAAGCGGATTCAGCCTCTTTCCCCTTCAGTAACACTCCCTTTGCTGCTCTCACTCCAAGTCTGGGACTGATGGGTTTGCACATAAGACGAAGACATCATGGGAGAACTTGATGATGTGACCCCTGGAGTCTGCCTTTCCTTCCTGGAGGTGCAGCAAGGGAAGCCACTGAGATGTATCGCTCACCAGCTGAGTTGTTACTGATTATGTGTTAATTATTTGAATATTTTTCAGGTATATTAAAAGCTTCAGGAACAAGATGACCATCTCAAAGAAAAACACAACAAAGGCTAATGTCACATATTGGAATGAGAGGATGCAGCCTGGCGTGATGGCACATGCCTGTCATCCCAGCACTGAGGAGGCTGAGACAGGAGGATCGCTGTGAGTTTGAGGCCAGTCTGGGCAACATAGTGAGTTCAAGTCCAGCCTGAACTATAAAGTGAGACCCTGTCTCAAAAAAACAAAAAACAGGGCCGGGGATTTAGCTCAGTGGTTCCACCGCCTGCCTCGCAAGCGCAAGGACCCGAGTTCGATCCCTGGTACCAAAAAAAAAACAAAAAAACAAAAAAAGAAGAAGAAGCAGAAGGATGCAAAACTATGATGCTTTGGATACAAGAGCAGTCATCATACATTGGCTAAATCCTTTGCGTTGCTTACTGGTGAGGCTGCTTGAGATTAAAGTCCACTACAAGTCTCTGCCAAATCCTTTTGCACTGATGGGTGTTTTCAAATGACCTTGAAAACCAAAATTTTGGAAGAGAAAGTGTATGTGTTCTATCTTGTTTGCATCTATTTCCATTTCATACATTCTTTCTTACACTCAACATAGATCATGCTCTAGTTTCATGAAAAATAAGACTAATGCTTAACAAAAAAAAGACTAATGCTTAACAATAATTATCTAATGAGTGGAGATAATAAATACAGCTGCATTCCAAACAATAGCTGCATTTATTATTATCAGAAATGATCCTATCTTTGATCTTCTGTCATATCTCTGATGTCAACAAAATCTATCTCTACTTCTCTCACAACATAATTCACTATTGTTATGCATTATGACCTTTATTCAGTACTTTGGAATGAAACCACAGATGTGAACACAGTAGGCGAGTGTTTTGGTGCTGATGTATAGATACAGAAATATCCCCAGTCTGCATCACCTCTTCTAATTTACAGAAATCTATTTGTTAAACTATAAAAGCTTCAGCAACATGGCCCAGGTTATTCTTATATTTGTATTATTAACATGGTTCAGCCGTACAGATGAATTAGGCTCACTGTGATCTATTCTCATGAGCATATGCGGTGCACTGGTAAAACCCAGCCTCTTTTATCCATGATTCCCTGACACACACACGCTTCCCAATCTCTAGGAATCAATATTTAACATTCTTGTCAGCACATTGCACTTCCACAAAGGGAAGAGAACGGGTGGTATTTCCCTTTCTCTGTCTTGGCTGTTTCGCTTAACATAACGTCCTCCAGGTCAGTGTATTTATCCATACACACTTGAAGACTGCAATTAAGTTTAGTGGCCATGTATGAGGTGAGACCAGTAATGTTAACAATAACATTGCCCTGAATGATCACTAACACCTTACACCATCTCTTAGAAAGAAACCACTATCCTGTTCTCCCTCTCACACTCAAGCAAGACCCAGATTTTCCATCACCGCTCCAGGATGCTTCCTGCTGTAGAATACAAGATACATGGATCCAGTGGAGGGAAAGAAGTCCAAGGATGTTGCCCACAGCCACCAGGGAGGAATATTTTAGGTTTTGCAATCCTGAGTACGAGAACAAGGAGGTCAACAGGCTTAGGTCAAACACTCAACAACCAAACAACACAGAAGAGTCATTGAATATAATGATAAAATGTTTATTAATGAGGTAAGAAATGGCCTGTTGCTAACAAACATCTCCTTCCACTCCACAGTTCCTTGTGTTGTGCCAACCACATTGCGTTTTCTGATGTCCTCCACCCAGTCACGCCATTTCACCACTGATTGACCTCCTAGGAGTTTTTATCTTTGTAAGAATTAGTTCTGCTTCTATTTCTTGGAAATTTGCCAATGCTGAGTGAAACTTTTGCTCCAGAACCAGCCCTAACTAGCCCTAGATGGAGCTGGCAGAACACTGCACCAGCATTGCGTCCCGTGCATGCGCATATAATTAAGCATTTGTATCTCCAACCAGACTGAAATCAGCAGCAGAGGAAGAACTTTATTGTGCTTGAGTGTATATTGCCGGCACTGGCCCAGTCCCCCTGTGAGGGTCATGGAATGTGTGCTGAGGAACTAAAGGACTTAGAGATTAATTAGTCCCTGCATAGTGTGGTGAATTGAATGTAGGCTTTACAATTAAATGGTACCACACCTGAAGTTCACTTCTGCAACTTGCTACTGTTGTGACTTGGGGCAAATGAGTTCTCTTCTTTGACATCATTTCTTCATCTGTGAGAAGAAACAAGGACCCCTGCCTCATAGGAATATATAAGAGAAGCATTCACGAGACACTCTTTTATAAGGTATACTTAATATACTTAAATTATTCAATGAAACTTTAAACGTTTAAACTACACTTTTTTCCAACATAGTTCTATAGTAAAATAATTGTTGAATGATCATTCATGTAATTAATTCGATCGCCAAATTGATTGTGATTTTATAAATGTGGATGACTCAACAAAGTGCAAGCACTGAAGCCACTAGTGGGACCATCTGAACTGCATTCCACAGGCTGAGGGGAACCAGAAAATACCTAGCCCAGTGCTTTCATGTGACACAGCTTTGAAACAATCAGCAAAAGAGAGGATGCTTGCACAGATATGGAAAACTGCACCGGGGTAAGAGAGTTTGTCTTCCTTGGCCTAACCCGGGAACCAGACGTGAGTGGGCTCCTGTTTCTCCTCCTGCTCCTGGTGTACGTCACAACCCTGCTGGGAAACCTCCTCATCATGGTGACCGTGACCTGTGACTCTCACCTCCACACCCCCATGTACTTTCTGCTCCGGAATTTGTCTATTGCCGACATCTGCTTCTCCTCCATCACGGCTCCCAAGGTGCTGGTGGACCTTCTGTCAGAGAGAAAGGCCATCTCCTTCCATGGCTGCCTTGCTCAGATGTTCTTCTTCCACCTCATCGGAGGCGTGGATGTATTTTCTCTCTCCATCATGGCCTTGGATCGGTACGTGGCCATCTCCAGGCCCCTGCACTACGTGACCATCATGAGCAGGGGGCGCTGCTCAGCCCTCATCGCGGCCTCCTGGCTGGGGGGCTTTGTCCACTCCATCGTGCAGATTTCCCTCTTGCTCCCTCTCCCCTTCTGTGGCCCCAACGTCCTTGACACTTTCTACTGTGATGTTCCGCAGGTCCTCAAACTTGCTTGCACTGACACCTTTGTTCTCGAGCTCCTGATGATTTCCAATAATGGGCTGGTCACTACTGTGTGGTTTTTTTTTCTGCTTGTGTCCTACATGGTCATTTTGGTGATGTTGAGGTCTCACACGGGTGAGGGCAGGAGGAGAGCCATCTCCACCTGCACCTCCCACATTACAGTGGTCACCCTGCACTTTGTGCCCTGCATCTACGTCTACGCCCGGCCGTTCACCGCCCTCCCCATGGATAAGCCCGTCCATGTCACCTTCACGGTCATCTCCCCGCTGCTGAACCCCGTGATCTACACCCTGCGGAACCATGAGATGCAGGCAGCCATGAGGAGACTCGGGAAAAGAGTTGGACCTTCTCATGAAATGGACCAGTAGTTCCCTCTGATCTCCACTTTTGAAAATGTTTGCACATCAGAAAAACTCTATTTACCAAAGATTACTAATTAATTTTTTTCTGTTTCTACTAAGAAATAAATGACTTTCAAGGATTCTGATCAACATATCATAAAACTAAAATAGTCTTTCATGTCACAGAAAAAAACAAAGAATAAACCTGTTAGCAGGAAAGACATATATTCCTTTTCCAACACATCCTTAGAAGAAATAGAGGAAATGAAATCAAACTGAAATACTCTCACCACATACCTGCACTCTTCCCAGGAGGCAGCAGAGACGTGGATTAGAAGCACAAGGTACCATGGGCTTTGGGATTCTATAATGTCTTTCACGAGCTAATCACATATTAATTAAATTTCCCCTCCAATTTCTGAAAGAAATAACATAAATTAGTGTCGCCTAAAGATTTTTACTCTAAAGCCCACATTCTGTAGCGGGTGCCTTGGAGTTAGCCCTGCTTGGATTACTGTAAGGATCTAACCAGTTATGGTTTTGTGATCATGAAAAAGGTCTTTTTGTGATCTTCCTCTGAACAAAAACCCCCTGACCTCCCCTGTGTTCCTTCAGCAGCCTGGGCTTAGCTCTAGCACAGAACTTGGGACCCTGTTGCTGATTTTCTGTTTTCTTTCTTCCCACTTACCCCAGTAGGATCACACTTTATTTATGTCCTATCCCAAGCACCTAACACACTTGGAATATACTATGCACTACTAAAAACTTGTTGAATTAAAACATTCAATGAATGAATATTGCCTCTCATGCATATTTGCCTTTCAAATCAATGAAATTATATGTTTAAGAAAAAAGTCTGATTGCACAGACTTAGAACTGTGGTCCCAGCTACTCAGGAGGCTGAGGCAGAAATATAGCTTGAACCCAGGATTTTGGAGCCAGCCTGGGCAAATCAAAAGAGAAGAAGGAAGGAAGGAAGAAAGGAAGGGATTTTATTTTTTATTTCCTAATGATATGACTCCTTAAAAGTGACAGAAACTTGTGGAACTACTTCAGACAGCATGTTATGGTTTAGATCAAAAAATATCCCCCAAATCCTCATATGTTTGGAAGGTAATTGGGTCATGAGGCAATAGTCTCATTGGTGGATTTATCTGTTGATTAGTTCAGTAGCTGGGTATGCTTTTAGGAGGTGGGGCCTGGTTGGTTGTGGGTCACTGAGGCGTGACCCAGAAGAGTGCATCTCCCTGGCTGGCTCCTCTTTTGCTTCTCTGCTTCCTGTGCACCATGGTCAAGTAACATTTACTCTCCTATGCTCCTCTGCCACCCTGCTTCTGCCTCAGAGTCTGCCAACCATGCACTAAAACCATGAGCCAGATTTAATCTCTCCTTCTTTACATTTCAGGGGTCAGGTATTGTGTCCAGCAACAGGAAAGTGACTAAGACATATGTTCAATCTGAGAGTGGGGTCATTGCTGTGGCTATAGATGACCATGTGGTTTAGAAACCTTTGGCAGTGGTTCAGGGGAGGAATTTGGAAAGGTTTGGAAGTACTGGCTAGAGAAGCCACAGAATGCTGCCAGCTGAGCTTGTTGGGAGATTCTAATTAAAGCTCATAAAACTAGAATGACAGAAATGCAGATAGTAAAGGCCAGGCTAGGGATGTTTCAGTTAGGAACAAGGATTTCATTGACAGTTGAACTAGGGGCCATGTATGTTACACTCTGGAAAAAAAGTTGTCCATGTTTTTCTGATTACTGAGACTATGGGAAATTGAGATTAAGGGCAGTGGACTAATTAATCTAGTAGAGGAAATTTCAAAGCATCCCAGTGTTTAGGTTGTGGCTTGGGTACTGCTGGCTGCCATTAGCCAGATCTACAGTAAAAATCAGGATAAAAAAACCCATGTGAAAAGTCTGAAGTTTCATCAGAAAGGAAGTGCCTGCAGAGTTGGAACAAAAAAGACCATGTTTGTTAAAAACATTAGCATTAAAATGAAGCTAAGTACATTTCAGGGCAATAAAAAAGATAACTGGAGGGCATTTCTTGAATCAATAAGATCTCACCCTTCAGAGGCTCAGGGGTGCAAAACTGTATGGGTTTCATTTGAGAAGAGATACACAGGGCCTCTTGCTCAAGAAGGGCCACCTAGGGAATTGGTCACCCAGGATTTGTTTCATAGTACTCAGCCATCCAGGTACTTACATGTCACTGCAGCCATGGTCTAAGGAGGCCTGGCTACTGCTCAAGCTGGCAGCAATCCTTAACATCATCAATGTGGTGCTAGTCATACAGGCATTAATAACACAAGAACTATAGGGTTAGGGAGGCCTCCACTCAGATTCCAGAAGAAAGCCTGAAAATCTAGGCAGTGTGCCCTTTAGAGGGTAGTGCATGAAGCTATGAGAGTGAAGCCAGAACTGTAGTGGAAACCCCAGGAAGTTAGAGATGCCAGAAACATGAAACATCTGCTGAGAAAAAGCTGTAGACAGTGAACAAAGCCATCCCAAGAGAAGGGTCATGTGGATTGCAACCAGCAGTCCCACAGGAACAAGGCTACTCAAGTCCCTTGGAGCTACATCTCACCACAGTTTGCCTCAAGTGCTGAACATGGAACTACAGGATTTAATGTTTGCCCTGCTTTGTTTCATTCTTCCTTTGGTTTCATTCCTGTCTATTCTCCTATTTCTCCCTTTTGGAATAGGAATGTTTACCTTGTGTCTTGTATGTCAGCAGTGTTTCACTTTCTCTTTTATTTTTATAGGGGCTCACAGGTAAGAGTTTGCCTTGAGTCTCAGCTGCAACTTTGGACTTGAACTTTTCAGCACCGTTGAAATTGTTAAGACTTTGGTGACTCTTAGAGATGAACTAAATGTATTTTGGGTAATGTGATGGACATGAGTCTTTGGAGGGCCAGAGGCAGAATATTATTGCTTAAATCAATAATAGCCAAAAAAAACCTCATGTATTTGGAAGGTGATTGTATTATGGAGTACTGTACTCATCAATAGATTCATCCATTGATGAATTCAGTAGATACATGTACTCTTAGGAGGTCACTAGCAATGTGGCCTGGAAAGATATATCTTCTTCTCCAGCTCCTCCATTCTCTCTCAGCTTCCTGGCAACCATAAGTTGAGCACCATTTCCTCCACCAGGCCCCTGTGCCATCCTATTTCTGCCTTGGAGCCTGCTAACCATGAAACCATGAGCCAAAATAAATCTCTCCTTCTTGAAGTTGCAGGGGTCGGGTATTGCGTCCAGCAATGGGAAAGTGACTGCACAGTGTGTGTATATATATATATATATATTCAAAAATGTTGAAACAAACCGATAAGCATTATTCAATACATCAACTTGGTTTTTATTTTTTTACTTATGCTCTTAAAATACTATATTTGTTATTCTGAAAGTTTTCCCCCTCATTTCTGGAGGTAAATCCTAGATCTTAAAATTGTTGAAACTACAAAAATGTCTATGTCCAGTATAAATCTCCATCTCAAATCGGATATGCAAAGGCTCAGAAGATATAACAATCTGCAAGGAGCCCATTGTAACACAGATTAAAGGAAGCAAGGAGGAGAGAGGTAGTGGCTGAGGTCAGACAGATAATGGAATGTGGGTCATTATAATCTATAAAGAGACCATTGTAGAGCTTTGCCTTTCACACTGAGTGAAATAGAAAGCATTTGGGGGGGCTTTAAAGAGCAAAATAATAATGCATATTTTACCAGGATTGCAGAGGGTACCATTATGAATAGACTGAAGGGGATAAGAACAAAAATAGGAAAACAATTAAGTTTCTGCAATAATTCCACAAAGGAAATAATGAAGACGTGACTTAATGTAGTAATGGTGGGTGCAGGGTATGTTTAAAAACTTTGGTGGCCAAACCAGTGGGATGTGCTGATGGATTCAAGACACATTCCTGACTACCACTGTGTCCTAGGGACCTTCAGCGTCCAGGTCATCAGCCCATGGGCAGCTTCTTCGTTCTCACCCCTGTGCCTTCTTCCGATCTGATTCCTCTTCCCAAGACTTCCGTGTCACACATCAGAGAACAATGCTGGTGGGTGAAATTGCCTAAAGTGATTGTTCCACCTCCTCCAAAGTAGAAGTTTACTTCCTAATGGAAGTTTCATGGTAACTTCACTCTGTCACAATGTAGGACTCAGTATGGCTGTGAGACTTTCTCAGGGATTCAAGCTCCCCAAAACACGTCCCTGTAGTCAAAGCTGGGGAGAAAAGACAAAACAATAAAATTTATATTTTATATTTACTAATAAGTTATGTGCCTGGAAATGACCAATCATATAAAGTATCAAGGGTTTTGTTTTATTTTGTTTCAATGTTTATTACTGTTGTGCCCAGATTGTGAGGTCCCAAAGACCACCAGGAGGCCGTTTCCGATGTAAGCGCACGAGGGTTGTTTATTCAAGCTTAAGCAGGGACTCTCAATTGTCACCGACACAGCGGATCGAGATTGAGAGCCCCGAGTTCCAAATTAGCGGGGTTTTTATAGAGGTTACAGCAAGGTTTGGAGATT